TGCCAACAGAACTTTAAGGACGGTGAAATAAATTTTTGCATGTAAGCAAATACTCCAATTTCATTTTTTTTAAGCACTTGGACTTAAATCCAACAAAATTACTTTTCATGTGTTTGTTCTAGTTTCTGTGAGTCCATTTGGAAGCAAATACCTTAATTTCATGAACTATATTGAGATTTTTATGGCTTTTCCTTTTCTTCACCAGAGCCAATGCGAAGATTCAAATTATAATCTCTTACTATCCCAAAGATTCTCAAAAGTAATCCTTAAATCTTGTTAGTGGTTTCTTTAACCTTAAAAATGTGAATAATACAAAGCTCCTATGACATTATTATTCTTTCAAAGAATGCATTATTTGTCCAAATAAAACCCACATGTTTCTTAGTCTAGTACTACTTCAAATTTAGCTAAAACACAGGAAATAATATGAGTTAAACCATGAATGTAGTCTGGCATCAGGTACACTGTGAATAGTAGAGATTTATCAATGATGGTACTAATTCCAGGTATAACTAGCAAAAGTTACAAAAGTTAAGTAAGGTTTCAAATTAGTATATTCAGTAAATGGTGTAATTTATGGAGTCAATAGATTTTAAGCTGAGTTTTTAAGGATGAATATGACTAAAGAGTATGGTTTGGGAGAGGAATCAGTGTTAAACAATGAAGATAATTGGTATCACCTTGAGAAAGGTTTTGTATTTTTCAGTTTGCAAGTGGATTAAAAGTAAGATTAATTTTTATTTAAAGATTTAATTATCCAGAGCTGGGGTACAGGCTAGAGGTACAGGGGCAGTGAGAGGGTTCATCAGAGACAGAGTGGGGAGCAGAACAGGCAGATTGAAGAAGTACACTGCTGAGGGGAGCAGCAGGCGGGTAGGGAGAGGTCTGCTGCGCCATGTGGGTCACCTCTGGGGTGGGAAGGGATCGAACTCATGCTGAAGTGGCTTTAGCTTAGTGCTGTGCTTTAACCCGCTGTGCCAGCAGGGAGGGCCCTAATTAATTTCTTACAGCTAGATGAAATCATTTCATATTGATACTTTACTTTTACAGTGTGTAGCAATTAAGAGTGCCAGTCTGCTCTTCCATTTAGTTGCCTTTAAGAAATGGACTTTTTAGCCCTCTTCAGTGATGACTACAATTCTCATCTCATTTTATCTGACGATTTAGCTAAATAGTAATGCAAGTATATGAAGTTAAGGGGCTGTTTTTACTACATTAGCCTTTATTTTCACCCTGTGGAAACTATTTTGAGTGCTCAAGTAGATCTAATGAGATCTTCAGTCTCTTGTTGCTAACAGGGCATGCTCAAAAAAAAAAAAAATCAGTATGGGCCATCCCTAGTCGTGCAATGGGCTTAAGCACAGCCCACTATAAAACTGTTGCAGCCATTGCAGCACGACATTGATCCCTGGCCAGGCAAACCTCTGCTCCCCTCAGCAGTGTATTCAGTACATCAGCCTGTTGTGTCAAACACACACACACACACACACACCCTGGCTTGTTCCCCAGTTCTGTATGCATAAATAAGTCTTTAAAAAAATCAATATGACTTAGACTAATAGGAATGCTACATATTTTTCATGACTAATAGTTAGTGTGTGTATACTAAACTGCATTAGACTCAGTTGTTTGGAATATAGGCAACCCGGAAAAGGAACCAGGCTTTCAGTTTGTTTCATATAATCAACTCTTACCAGTCACAACAACACAGCAGTCACAATTTTTTTTTCTTTGAAAAATAATTTCTAGTGTGTCCTAATTTGGTACATACTGGGCTACAATTGCAGTACTATACAACAATTTCATGAACCTGAACCAAATGTTCAGAATCATTTTCCCCATGTTATTTTTTGTAAGGTTTTCATTATTTGTTTTGTTGTATGTGCTGCAGTGTTGAGAAGTAAATTAGATCCTATATCACTGAAATTTTGTTACTGAGTCAACTAAAATGACTAAATCTGAGTCCTTAGTTGCTCTGTTCTGAGAGTTTGCCATCATAACAAGGCTGCATTTGTGCATTGTTACTGGTAAAACTGACCCTGGAGTATAACAGAATTTTAAAATTAAGGAAGGGGTAGGTTTGTGTATCATATTTTTGGCAGCACATACACTAAAAAGGTTTTTTTTTTTTTGCTGTGTAAACATTTCTTTTTGAGTAAGCCTTGCCTACAATCAATTCCTTATACACAATGCTAAAATAAAGTGAGCTTTGTACATTGAATATCTGAACTATCTACTGGTGTTTTATGTGCTGTATTTTATCTAATCCTGCTGGGATATCATCATTGGCCCTGAAATGTTAAAAGATCATTGGTTTCATTAAAATTTTAATTATTTGGTACAGCGGATTAGGTTTTAAAGCTCTTTAAAATTAAACTCAATATTTGAGAAATGTCTTTACTTTGTGGCTTTTGTAACACAGCTCAAGATGTTTCTAATTGGCCAAAAGGTAGGGGCCCTAGTTTGGGGGCTGCCTGAACATGAACAATTATGGATAATTCCTACAATAAAGTGTCGTTTTTGTTGTTTTTGAGGTGTCATTCTCACCAATATAGATAGCACATATGTATTAGTTACTCCCTCCCCAACATCACTATACAAAATTTGGGGGCACAATAAATATTTCATGTGTAAACTTTAGTAAATTGGCATGCTTGAAAATAGCAGGGGAGCAATGCAGGTTTTGCTCACGGCTCTTGCTGTGACTCAGAGCAAGGACCTACTATTGAACATTTTGATAAAAATAACTTCAAATTGAAAAAATTTGACTACATTAACTTGTCTACCTTAATGAAACTAAAACCCAGAATAATGATATAGTTATATCAGTACTTTTATTAAAGGACATGGTTAGAAATAATTCCAGCATTTGTTTTCTGGTTTATTAGGTTACCCTCTTTTCTAATTTAAGGGTAGTATCTAAAAACAAAGCCAGTTACTGCTGAGGAAACTTAATAGGGACTCAGCTTTTGGGGTTTCTAAATCAAGAATTGACAGCATGCTGCCAAAAAAAACTTATTACCTCAGTCAAGATTGATCATTAAAGGCACAGGCATTTTTTTATTTTTGTTTTTAAATGTTTGGACTTTCTTCTTTTAAAAAATTTTGGACTTATCAATTTGAAGGATAGTGTTCAAACGAGGTGTTATATTGTAACCTATTTTTCTTCTAAATGATTTCTGAACAAAATGTATTAACATTTGATGTCTATATGCGATGACACAGCAATCATTTCAACATAAGAACTTCAGTGCATGTTTTGTTAAGATATTCCTACCGAATACCCAAACACAAAATCAATTGCTTTCAGATTCTGATGGTACTTAAAACTATATAGGTCTGTATTAAAAGGCAAGGTATCAGTAAGTTAAATTTTAGTGGCTATTATGAGACAAGACAGCTCTTCTACTCCAGATTATAATATTGAAAATGTAACTTGATTTATCTGCATTTATTATAATAGAACAGTAACTCCTTTAAAATTTTAAAATTTGTTTACTCCCAACAATTATGGAAAACAGTACTTTTAAGCTGGTAATAGGACAGTTATTTTAAATATTGCAGCAAGTGTTGGGTTTAACAAAACAACAGGAATTTTTGCCAACCTTTAATATTCACTCCTAGGACATGGTGGTGAGGCTTTTCCTTGAATAGTCATTTTGCTCCTACTTGCCAAAGATTCTTCTCGCATCTTGAGAGATTTATTTTGGGAAAAAACATCAAAATGATTAAGCAAACTTGCAAACAAAACTGCTTAATACAATCACTATATACCTAGTAGGATTTTACTGAAAAAGGCAGGAAGACTGCACTTGACTTTTTCTTGAAGATCTTTCTAGAAAATCACCTTATAAATAAGGTAAAAGGCACAGAACTAAATCCTTTTATCCTTTGTGTTATAATGAAGCATTACAGCATACACTTTGACAGTGAAATAATGGGGTTCATTAATCGATAATACCGTAGACACCCTAATACTGTTAGACGCTCCAGCTTTGAGGCGCTAACATTCCCAAACACTGCTAATTCAGAAGGCAATACTGAGGTGGTCCTATTGAAATACACTGCAAATGCCTTCCCAGTGAAGGTTAACCATACAGGAAGAACCTTATGGCTTTAACAACCACCTTTATGGTTTTGAAATTAAAATTATTTGATGTCTTAAAAACCTCTTGGCCGATTCATTATGTTTAGCATGCCTGATGTCAGACAAATTTATTAGTAAGCTAGGCCAAATATACATGTCCGCCAAAATGTCCGCAGAAACGTTAAGCGATCACAAAGCCAGTTTGCGATACCTCACAATTGGCCTTCACCATCCTTTGACACCATTAAGTAACACCCTAAGAGAAAGCTGGTTCTAATTAGAATCCAAGCGCGAGGTTCTCTAGCTGTAGGAAGGGCGGCATTAAGGGCAGAGAGGATTTCAAACCCCTTTTCATTCCCTCCTCGCTGGCGTACAAGAAACCACCCACTACTTGAAACTAGGCGGGGGAGGAGGGCTGCAGCCTGCCGCCCAGAGAGCGCTCTGCAGGGAGGACGTTTCCCTGAGTCACGGAGAGGGCGGGAGGCTGCGCCCATTTGCCCACGCCTCATCCTTTGTAAAAGACTCAGTTGAAACAAGCAGGAGCTACAGTGGAAAGGGTAGCACCGTCATTCCGCAAGGCGGCCCAAAACCACCTCACTCCCCAGAGAGGCCGTATTTCCCGAGAGCTCGCTCCGCATTCTGGCAGCAATCAGCCGACCCTTCCCAACTAGTATCACGTGCACCCGGAAGTACGTGGGTGGGACCTAAGCGCCCACGGAAATGACGTCGCTCGCCCTAGTCGCATGATGTGGCAAAATGCAAAAAAAAAAAAAGGGGGGGGGTAGGGGAGAGAAAAGCTGGAGGCTGGAGAAAGTGATGAGTCTAAAAAAGTAGTCCTTCGATTTCTCTATTTACCCTCGGGTCGCAGCAGTAAGCTAGACCTCAGCGCACTGCGCTTCGAATTCCTGCGCACCGCAGCGCCGCGGCGCTCCGTGGAGGGGTACATAAGGCGGAGGGGGTGAGGTGACTTGGGCGGAGTTCTATCGCCGGGATCCCTCCGCAGGGTTCAGCCGTTTCCGGAGTCTGCGCTGCGCCCGGTTCCGCCATTGCGGCTCTCCCGGCCCCTGGAGCCTCCGCCCCCGACCCAAGCTCTTTCGTCTGCCTGCCAGTTTCCTGCGTCCCCCGAGAATATCCTGCTGAGCCCAGCCTCCCCCCTCCCCCTCTCCTCTCCCTTGGAGAGCCCGGGCAGCCACTGCCCCACAGCCCGAGTGACAGGAGGAGACCATACCCCCCGACAGCGCCATGGCCCAGATTCTGCCAATTCGCTTTCAGGAGCATCTCCAGGTGCGGCTGGGCCCCGGCTGGTGAGGGCTGTGGAGAGGGTGGTATGAGGGAAAAGCTAGAGTTCTGGGCCCAAGCAAAAATAGTTGGGGGTTGGGGTCGGATTTTGGAGTAGTTGGAGGATGGGAGCACTGTCTTCGGAAGCTTAAAGGGTTAAGTGATGTGGGTTTGGATGAAAAGGACGGGAGTCCGGGGGCAGCGGGCTGCGAGGCCAGGCCTGGGTTCGAAGGCCTCTCTTCGCTTCCTGGATAGCAAGAATCGCGCACGCTTAACTCCCCCACCCCTTCCCCTTTTTAATCAGCTCATTCATTGGGGGGCGGAGGGAGCATTTTGCTCCCTCGTTTCCTACGGAGCAAGGTTTCTAACCCCCTAGGCGGGTACATGGCTGTCACCTCTTCTCGTCCCATACCCCCATCGTGTCTGTATCCTGGAGTTAATGGAGCGGGTGGGCTGAGGAGAAGCAACCTTTATTCTCCCCTCTGCGGCTCTCAGCTGAGAAAGGCACCTTCCCTTGGGGGTGGGGGAACGGCGGTGACTTGTCTATAGCTTCCCCCGAAGCAATTGGAACAGAAGGTCACTGAAGGAACCGGAGGATAGAATGGGGGAACGTATTTCTCAGGGCGGTGTCAGTCTCAGTGCGTGGGGTCAAGGTCCCTAGAAGTCGCCCTTATTTTTCCTTTCATGATTTCTCCGGGAATGGTGTGGCTCTCATCCCCTCTGGTAGATGGTAAAAAGAGTTATCCAGAGATTATCTTGGGGTCTCCTGGAGTCCAGCAGGTAGTTGTGGGCTGGACGTGATTACCTCCCTCAGGATTGTATGGAATTGAACAGAGCCCTGGGGGATAGAGCACACCTGCTCTGAAATATGCGAGGTTATTCGGTCTATAAATGACTTCCTTTTAGTAGTTTCTAGAGTTCTTTCCTATGGTGCATGATCCTGTAGGCAACATACTGTCTTATCTGGCAACCTGCCCAACACTGGCCCAGGCAGGTGCTAAATGGAGGGTTTGGCTGAATTAAGCCTCCTCTGAGTTTCTGATTTTCTTAGTTCACCAGTCCAGGTTTTGTTTCTATTGACATAATTTATTCATGTTAATTTGTTTTCCTAAACAACGCCTTAAAAAAGACCTGCCTCAGCTCAACCTTCTGAAGGGCTAATTTCATAGTAATAGAGATGCAGCACTTTGACATTTCACTGTTAGTAACCTATTTCATTCAAGGCTGTTTTATATACTTTCTCCCATTGGCATATATAAAGGACTCTTGTTAATGAAAAAGTTTAATTGTATAGTATCATGGCATTTCTTATTTTGTACAGATAGTGTCACTTTTGCTTGCATCAGCAAGAAATTCTGTAAGTCTTGAAAAGTAATGAGGAATTTTTACTATAAATGACTTAATGCACTTTCTTTGGTCATTCCTGGTTTTAAATTACTCCTCTGAAGTAATGTAATATACCTCCTCTATTTTACAGTTTGAAAAGAGTTAAGTGATAGAATGGACAAAGTTATCTGTGCATAATCCAAGTTTTAATTGCTGTGGTTACTTCTATTGAAGTGAGATGTAAATGAGTATGAAGAATTATGAAAATGATGTTGATGGGTGTAAGAGGAAAACATAGGCTCATCCTTACACTAACGTGCATCTGAAATATAATCTTTCTACAGACAAGATATTTGTTAAATCATACACAGAAGGGGCAGTCATAGTTGTTTACATGACAGGTATAGTCTGCTGGTAAAACTTATTCCTTGATTAGTGTTGGCTTGAGTAATTGCTTTTCACTTCTATTAACAAGGAGACATTTGCTAAATACCAAAGACTGATGCCAGCCTTGTTAGAAGACAGATTTAATACAGGGCTGATTTCTTAAGTGTGTTGAAGTTTCTGCCCATAGATAAGTGAGGCCATTTTCTTCACAAATAATCTGAAAATTTGAATATAAAGCAAGACTGTGAGTTAGGTTTTTTTTTTTTTTTGGCATACATACCTTGTCTAAACTTGGTATATTGTGATTGTACTTTTAGTTGATGAAGGCTAATTGGGATGAGAGCCTCAGTCACCAAACTTCCTGAATAATCTCCTGACTTCTCATTTTTAACTCTTTTTTTAAAAAAAGTAATAAGGGCCATTTAATAGATTTGTATTTTTGGCCACTGAGCCTCTGCCAGTTTGCTGAGTAGCAGAAAACTCTGAAACACTTAGGATAAAAACTGGAAACAAGAATTGAGGAACTTGATTGTAGAGTTAGCCTGTGAAAACTTTAAAAGGTAAACTGTAAATCATTTTTTTAATATCATGTAACTGAAGGATCTGTTGTCAGGCTTGAAACTACACCAAATGAATATTATTCTAAATTGTGAAGATTTTTTTAAAAGATTTAAAATAATTTATGCATACAGGACTGGGGAACAGGCCAGAGGTACAGGGGCTGTGAGAGGATTCACCATAGACAGAATGGGGAGCAGAAAAGGCAAATTGACTGAAATACACTGCTGAGGGGAACAGCGGTCAGGAGAAGTCTGCTGTGCCATGTAGGTCACCTCCCCAGCTGGGGAGCGAACTCATGCTGTAGTGACTATGGATAGCTTCATAGTGCTGTGTTTTAACCCGTTGCGCCACCAGGGAGGGCCTGTGAAGTATTTTTTAATTTTACGGGATGTTGAGGATGTTAACACTCACTAGATGAGTACCTCTTTAAGACATTGCTCATGTTGCAGGTTCTGAAAATTATCCTTAGGCTGCATATAAAATGTCTGCAATTCTCAGTGCTTGGCACCTTAATTATTTTTATAACAGTTGATACATCCCACTATATTCCCAGGTTCTTTGGGTGTGCAATTAAAGGCCCCCCCCCATCTTGTTCTTTCCCCTTTAATCCAAAAATGTAGGAATGCATTTAGGAATGTATTATGAGTCCAGTGGTAGTGGCCTTGATAAAGTTGTTTTGGTCTGCAAGGACAGAGCAATGCTAATTATTAGTGGGATATACTATCTGTTTAACTCTGTGGCCAGAAAAAGGCCTACTGCCTGGAATTATGCTGCAGTCTACCCTGGGAGTAGTTTACAAGCTTAAAATGCATCATGTTTTTCAGAAGTTTCCTAATGGTGAATTTAATAATTCTAAGTGAATGTGTTTCCACTCCATTGAGGAAATAATTTAAGACTTGGGATGACATGACTGTGTATGTGTAGAACCATAATTATTTTCATTATAATGTGCAGTGAATACAAGATTTCAGTAATCTTAACCTAAGATTATTTGAGTTATAATTAACAAAGTTTTTTTCTGTCACTAATATTGATGTGTTTTTCACTTTTTTGATTACTTTATATTAGATCTTTTCATGATGAAAATGTGTACTAGCTACTCAGGATATTCAAATGTGGCTAGTGTGAGTGAGGAACTCCTTGTTTTACATTTATTTCTTTATAATTTAAATGTAAATAACTACATGAAGCTATTCACTGTGGTATTGGATTGCACAATTACAGGTCATAACGGTGGACTTTATAAGAGTATAGATTTATCTGACCATCCATATTTATATATTTACAATATTTTGCTAGCTAAAATTAAAAGTTTAGGTGAAAAATAGCTCAGATCAATACTTTCTGTGGAATTGGTGATAATGAACAGTGACCAGTGAGTGGAATGAACAGGAGGGATCTTGTGAGAGCCGATTATGCTCTATGAATGAGGCTGGGTACTCAACACTTTTCACTTAATCCCCCAAGAATTGAGGCCTTCCTAAACAGTTGAAGACAGAAATCCTTAAAAGAAAAAGCATGATTGGCCTTAAGAGAAGTTATACAGTATCTGACTGTGCACTTTTTTTCTATTGGACTTTGCCCAGTGTGGCAGCCTTTCTACTGGTTTAAAATATAATTATTGATGTATTACAGTAGACAATTCAAGGGACTTGGGGATTCTTAAGATCAGTGCTTTCTAGTGTACCCTCTGTATGTGATACTATATTTCCTAGTGGTCCTATTAAAACTAAAAAAAAAAAAAAAACCCAAAAAAGTGAAATATGTTTTAACTAACATAGTGTACCCAAAAATGTCATAATTTCAATATACAATCAATTCTTAAACTTACAAGTGATATATTCCTTTTTGAGTGCTGAATTTTCAAAATCATGCTTGGTGTACTTAGAGTTTATCTCAGTTCAGATTTTTCAATTGGAAATATTTGATCTGGGCCCTCCCTGGTGGTGTAATGGATTAAAGCACAACACTATGTTACTACTGCAGCCACTGCAGCATGAGTTCGATTCCTTGCTAGGGCAGTGACCCACAGGGTGTGGCAGACCTCTCCAGACCCACCTTCTGCTCCCTGCTCTGGCTGGTGAAGCCTGTCACCCCGGCATCTCTAGCCTGTTCCCCTTTTCTGTATGCATAAGTAAATAAAACTGTTTAAAAAAAAAGAAATATTTGATCTGTGTTTAGTGTTTATGAAATTGGAAAAGCAGATTGCAGGCCCACATTATACCAAATGCGTGCAGATTTTTCATAATTGAATTATCACTTACCATTTAATTTTAATTAGTTTAAATTTCAAAATTAATTCAGCCACAGCAACCACATTTCAAGTAGTAGATATATGGCATTGCTCCTGTATTGGGCAGTGCAGTTAAGATTAATCTCTTTGTGAACCTGGGATCATTTATGTGAAAGTACTTGATATAAAACTGTAGTGAAATTATTGGTTATATAATTATAGTCCAAAATATTTTATTCAGATACCAGCAGTGGTATCTGACACCATGTTTTATTTGCATACCTAGATTTTTATGGTTTATAAATATTTGCTAGTTAGCAAATTTGTTACTAAGCTAAGATCTAGCACTTATTCCATATCAGAAACTAAGAACAAAGTGGTAAGTAGGCCTGCAGTTTGCATTGATGCTTACAATGATTTTTTGGTAAATATAATCCACACTTAATTGCATCCAGGTTATTATTTAAATATCTTGTTTAATACACAGGGTTTAATACAC